TTTATTTTTATTTTTGTTCTAAAAAATTGTTGCACCATTCGTCTTTTTCATTTTTTGTAACTATTTTAATTGTTAGTTGTTAGATAAAAAGGGTCGCTGGTTAGTAGGTCTTTAAACGCGTCGAACCGAGCTCGAGTTTAGGATGCTCGAGCCGAGCTCGGCTCGTTAAATAAACAAGCTAGAAATTAAACTCGAGCTCGACTCGTTTATCACTAGTAACGTGTTGAGTTCGAGCCTTAACGAGCCGATCATCAGGTTTAACGAGTTGAATTATAAAAAATTATATAAAAGTACTCTTTTCGACTCGGCTTGGCTTTTGTTGACCAAACAAGCTTTAATTGAGTTCGAGCTCAGCTAGGCCTCGAGTTGGAGCTGAGTCGAACTAGACTCGTTTAACTTAACAGGTGAGTTTGAGCCCGAATCGTTAAAGCTCGAAAATAAATATTTATACATTATTTTTTGTATAGTTTGGTTGGTTAATGTTCGAGCTCAACTCGCTTATATTGATAAATAAGCCGGCGGTTGGGCTTATTTATTGGTTCGACTCGATAAATGCTCGAGTATCAGGAGCTTTTTGACACTCATTTGTGCTAATATTCGAGTTCCACTTGTTAATACTTAATAACAATGGAGTATATGTATATGCATACAAGCAAAAGTGAAGAAACAAAACTGACTCATTTAACGAAAAACAGTCCAATCTCTCTGCTGTTATTTATTCTGCAGCTCTTGTCCATGCACTCATCGGCATTATAATGTAATGTATTCCCCAGTTGATAAGGACGCGTTGTGTAAAAGCCCTAAATGGAAGAAACTAAAACACAGATACACACTAATAGGGACAAAAGAAAAAAAAAACCGTTAATAATAATAATAATAATAATAATAATAATAATAATAATAATAATAATAATAAAAGAAGGCAAATCAAGAAGTTAAAGATTTAATTTTCTTTTCAAGTGATTTTAGTTTTTATGGAAGAGTTGAACTAGTGTCCATTAGGGCTGTTACCGAATCGAACAGTTAGCGGACAAAGCTCGTTCGTGTTCGGTAACAGTTCGTTCGTTTAGTAATCGATCTGAACTCGAACATGAAATTATGCTCGTTTAGTTATCGAACGAACACCAACAAGTTCACGAACAAAAAGTATTTCATAATTTTAAATATTATATATAGTATATACATATATAATATAATATAAATATGGATATATATTAAATATTAAATGGTAATAAAAAAAAGTCAACAAACACGAACACGAACTTGTCGAACAATTCGAACACGAACTTGTCGAATAATTGGAACAGTTCACGAACAAGTTCGACTATATAATCGAACGAACACGAACGAAAATTTTTGTTCGATTACTAAACGAACGAACACGAACATGTTCGAAAATTAGTCGAACTCGAGCTCAAAAACTTTAAGCTCGGTTTGGTTATGTTCGATAACAGCCTTAGTGCCCATGGAAGTTTTACCCTCCGATCACACACTTATACATATTTTTGCCGGTGTGTGTTGGTCGGACGGTTAAAACCACCGTGGTGTGAAATTTATGCAATTTTATTCACCAATTGTTTGGTTGAT